GATTGGCCTATATTTATTCATACAATAACACAATAATTACTTTAAATACCTGAATCTATATATATATATATATATATATATATATATATATATATATATATATATATATATATATAGGGTTAGGTTATTTTGTTTTTACTAACTATTGTGTGCCAGAATGCACAGATCTGGACCACCGGATGGAATATAATCAAAGGTCATTATCTGAGAGTCTATGATATTACAATAGGGTAACATGCACCATATAATCACACAATTTTCAGCATAAGGGTATTTTGGTCAATTTACCTATATTAAAAAAGGAAATTTCCGGACTTTCAGGGATAATTAATTCTTTTATTTTAAAAATTTTGAATATTTTAAATTAATTCAGATTTAAAAATCCGATTTTATTCTGTCAGAATGACAGAATGCCAACCATAAACTAGTAAATATACTTTCAATTTTATTCTTGCAAAATACATTTCCAATGCAGTTATATTTGATAATTGACCTGATTTAAGAACAAGATATTATTCATATACATCCAACTTGGGTCTATGATTTTATTCTTAATATACATTCGAAATTAAATATAAATTCATACATATTCTTACAGACTAATATCCTTATACATTTTAATATAGTTATACATATTCTAACAGAATATCATCAAACATGAATAAAATTGTTAAAAAATAGCATTCTTGAATATACAATTATTGAACAAATGCACTTGATCCTCTTCAATGGTCCATATAATCAACTTGATCTTCACATATATACTTGTTGTTGAACTCGATTCCAAATATTTCTCTTGTATGATTAATATTGAATTCCTTCTCCATGCAATTCTGAAAGAATAAGATACATTACTCATTAGTATTACTAGTTAAACAAATATATTTGTTGTTAACAAACATTCTCAAAGACATTCTAACAGAATGCATTTATAGAAATAAATTCTAATAGAATACATTATAGAATGCACTTAAATCATAGTCTCTTCTTCTATATGCATAAACATTCTAAATGATGTATAAAATGTATTCTGTCAGAACTGGAATTTGAGATTCCATTCTGGCAGAATTACCCTCATCATATTAGATACCAAGGCCTTCTATGACAATTTTTTCGATAATCAACTTACCCAAACAACAGTTACAGCCATTAGGCACACGAATGTGAAGTAATTTTTCCTCCCTACACAATTATTCAACCACTGCACTAGAAATAATTTAGAATTAAAATTAAGTCATGTGAATTTACATATAAACAATGAAAAAAATTCTAGAAGATTTTTCATCTGTGCGTTTCCATTCTTTCATTTTGGAATTTGGATCTTACCCTACAATGATGATCAAACCCATCAACACATTTATCACAACTTCTGTAGTGTTTGCTATACTTTCGAACCTATAACAAATTAAAAAAAAAGATTTTAAATAATTTGTCCAGAAAATCAACAATCATATCATAAAAAGTTGAGTATACAACATACGACTTCAGAAATCGAATAAAGTTTAATAAAAAATGATTTTTTTTTACAGAAAATAGATACCTCGGCATTGCATAGTGTACAAAATAAAGCTTCTTCCTCCCCTCCTTGTTGCATATCTTCATATTTTCTACAATCCTCTATTACAATACAACCACAAAAGAATCCCCAAACTTTTGAACAACAGCCTGAGCTACCATTATCATATATTCCAACATTCTGAAACCCAATCTTGCTAGCTTCTCCCAGATGATCCATTTCCTGATACCCAAAAAAAACATTTGCTTCAAATGTTTGGGTCAATTAGAATGCCAGGATCAGCAGGATCGATAGCTGTGCATCTTACATAAAGGATAAATACACAGAGAGCCTGAACGATTGTAGGGAAAACACAAACACATAGCAGATCGAAGTAGTGAATTAAGCACAAAAATTGTACCTGAAAAGTGTGAGCAGGAAGTTCCCATCCATGTCGCATAGCCATGATCAATAAACGAAGTCAAAAAACTCAAATAGCCATGATCAATAAATGAAGTCAATAAACTCAAATAGCGGCGACAGTCTTATTGATCGAGCAGGTGGAAGAACAGATGGATTAAAATGGCGGTGTTGGTAGTAGATACGATGGCAGCAAGGGGTTTCAACGGCGACAATCACAGCGGTAACAATCAAGAGGGTAATCGATTAACTTGAATCATGAGAAGAGACCGTGGAGCTGGCGATCGATTGTAGAAGAATAAGAATAAGAAGAAGAAGAAGCGGTGAATTAGAAACGATATTGAGTACGATTTAGGGCTAATGCTCTAAATTTATCTTTGATTCTTGAGTGAAATCAGGAATATTAATTATCTTCCATAATTAACTATGCAAAGATTACTATAATACCCTTAACTGATTTATTTAATTATTTATTTTTTCCTAAATTCCTATTGGTGCATTCATGCACTCAATAGTTGCTAAAAACATTTGAACCTAGCTCTCTCTCTCTCTCTCTCTATATATATATATATATATATATATATATATATATATATATATATATATATATATATATATATATATATATATATTATACACACACACACACTAATCGCCGGAGCATTCATGTCTCGCCGCATCACAGAGGTCTAGTTATGTGTTACAACACACATTAATAGGTTTTTGTATGTTTTTTTCCACTAAAAACATTAAATAACACAACGGAAACAATATTAATAAAGAAAACGGAAACAATATTAATAAAGAAAACGAATGGTAAATTAGTGTCATTAAGAATATGAATGGCAAACGAGTGTGAATAAGTTATAATCAAATAAATAGATATTTATTATTTATTGCAAAAGTTTGAGACACATATTATGGAGATGTTTAATTCAAACTACTTATTGGATCATCATCTTACACATAAAAGGAGATGTACAAGAAAGAAAGAGTAATGACAATTACACATCATATTGTGTTTTCAAAGCATCCATGCATGTGGAAGAGAAACTGGAACCTTCATATCTTGTTCAAATGCTTACAATAGTAGTAATGAATCACAAACTTACACTCGAGACATTTGAAGATCAGTTGGTATTGTAACTTCTGATAACATATACTACATCGGCCATCCAACACAATACCTTGAGCAAAGGAGAGAGGGTGTTGGTGATGGCTGGTGTTAAAAATACCACCAAACTTTATATTCATATTTAATTAATAAAGTCGGGTTTTATGTAGAAAAATTACATTATTTTAAGAAAATTTTTAATAAAGTCTTTAATGTTTTTTTAACAGAAAATTTGGAAAAATCACATAATTTGTCATTTCTTGTTAAAATAAAAAAATCGTTAATTTGGGCAAAATGTTAAATAATCAGGACTTTTCTGTTATTTTTTTAGAACTTTAATAAAAAAAATTGCAGGACTTTTCTATATAAAACTCAATAAAATTGATTGCCTTATGTTTTGTTTTATTTTGTTTGTTTGTTTTTTTTTTTTTTTTTTTTTGTTTAATTTGTTTTTTTTTAACTTGTTTGCTTGACATTTTGTAGCAATTCATTCCATCTGCATTAGTTAAAATGAAACACCTATTTATGGCTTACCAAAGAAACATCTATTTATAGCTTACAAGTAAATCCATGCATTAATTACGCAACCAAAGTTACTTTTGGTAGATGTAAGCTTTTTTTTCTTCATCTAATGATAAAGAGACAAATTTAAGAACCATATAATATTAAAGAGATGATCTTTATAACGATATTCTCAAGGGTCTTGTTCAGCAACGAAAGTGCTTTCAACAACGAGAACAGTAGTTCAAAAATCCTGCCTAGCGACATCAAAAGGGTGGCATTCAACTGGTTAAAAATGAGAACCAATAGTGGTTCTAGTATCGATTGGTTAACATGGTGTATTGATCCTAAAACTGTTTGCCTGAATGTTTTATAACTTCCAACGGCTTGCTAGCATTTTTATATACAAGTCTTTTGCTGTTATAAAAACAAGATTACCAGTTTTATAGTTACAATAGATGTTATTATTACTTGGAATGAACAAAAGTATTGCAAGGCATGGACACGTTAAATTCATTTACCTTATTGTATCATATCATAGGCATGAAATAATACAAAGGGGATATAGTACAAGAAAGAGTAATGACAATTACAAATCATATTTGGTTTCAGAGAGACCAAAAAACTTCATATGTAGTATTTCATACAACAGTGGTAATGAATTGAAAAGTTACACTTGAGACATTTAAAGATCATGAAGTACTGTAATCTGTTAGGACACCTTTTGCATTTTCCATCCTACGCAATGCCTTGAGCAAATAAGAGAGGGTGTTAGTGATAGCCGGTGTTAAAAATACCATCAAACTTTATATTCACGAAATAACCAACGCCTCTGGCATAATAATAGCAATCAACATGTGTCGCGCTCTCAAGTATTAACGGAGCACAAGCGGTATGTATGGACTGAGCACAATCTTTACAATGATAGAAAGATTGATGAGGATTCAGATCCTCCTCACAAATTTCACAAAAGTATTCACTCTTGTGGTTCTCAATCGGGAGGTAACTTAGTTGCATCGGATGCTCGTCATACTTGTGCCTCACTGTCTCGGCTAATAACAAAGCACATTCGGGATGTATATCAATATGACACGTGCCACAACGGAATGAAAGTCCTCGATCATCAATAAATTCGAGACACATATGACAAGAAGTATCATTATCTTCTTCTACTTGAACCCGTGAAAGAAGGTGATTGGGGTGAGATTTATGTGTGATTTCTTTAGGTATAAACCCACATGTAACATCAACATAGTATTTGCATTGGACGCAACCATACGCAAACCCATTGCAAGATTGCGTACAAACCTTACATTCAAACACACCGAAAAAGAAAGGAAGATCGTTTGAGAAGATGAGATTGAGGGTATGTTGCGGGTGGCCCGGGTGGTTTTGTATTATTGGGGGGAGTCGAGTGCACCACTCATGGAGAGCAAAGTTATTGCAACTCTGCTGAGCACATATGTAAAACTACATGGTCTCCATGATTGGCCTGAGACATCCATTGCATAGCAGTTGGGTCTTTTTCATTGGGTCATGACACTTTATTAATAACAAAGAATTTGAGGAGGAGGAGGAGGAGGTTTGCCCATGATCAACTAGAATCAGAGGGTGTTGGTGACTGTCGTGTGTTAGGCGATCATCTACCTTAATCTTATGATGATGATGATCATCATCATCATTAGTGGTTTGTTGGAAAAACAAGTTGTGTTTTGGAAGGCTATATGTTTCATCAGGGAATGGGAGATGGAGAAGACCAGGATGATCAACATCTTCATAATTTTTAATGGTTTTGCCAAGGCCTGAGCATCATAAATTGGGAATTATAGCATGTATAATAACAAATAAGAATTTAATTACTAAATGATATATAATAATAATAATAATAATAATAATAATAATAATAATAATTAAGGAAAGAAAGCAAAGCAACTGTGATTTACCAGCACGCGGAGGCACTCTTACGCAATCCAGATGGGCGTAGTAGAGACATTTATCGCATTTGTAAATCCAAAGATCCTCCTGATCATAATAAAAACCATCACCACATACTCTGCATCCAGGATTATGTTTAGCTTTTTGATCTTGTCTGGGAAAGGAATATGAAATGGTGAGGGGATGGGTATGATGAAAAGCACCGTCTGTTCTCTCTTGGATTAACAATGCTTCCGGTAGGAAAGCACATTCACTGTGTATGGTGAAGCTACCAGAAGTGGTACATTGATAGAACATCCCTTTATGTTCCTTCCCACAAGCATTACAGTCGCATAAAATGGGCTTAGGGATGGCCCACATCAGCAAGTGAGGGTGGCAGGGATGATGGATCACATTCTTTCCTACTTCCATGGCACACTTTACATCAATGTGGAAATAACATTCATCACACTCGTATAACATTTTGTTTTCTTGACTACTCCCACAAATATGACATCTCCAATTATAAGCCGGTGCCAGTTGCTGGATAAGAGGATGTCTGTGTAATGTTTTCTCCAACCTTGGTGGCAACTCACCACAAAATTTGTGAAGTGAGAAGACCTTCTTATCATCACATGATGATGAACAAATGGTGCATGTGTAGTAGTACCTGTGGTACATATGGATTTCTTCCCTACACCTCCCACATGTGGCACCTCCAAACCCTTCTTTTTTTGTAACCAGACCACCACCCTCCTCCTCATCTTCTTCTTCATTTTCTTCATATTGTAGCTGCAAATCAATGAGCTTTAGTGGATGAGGGTGTTCGAATACTTTCAGTGTCTCCATTATTATTATTATATATATCTCTCTTTATAATAATATATAGAGATGTTACACTTCCCAGCTTATTGATTTATAGCAAAGAAAGAGCATATATGTGTGCCAAATTCACAAAACTAAGCAGGATTTCTTTCTTTCTTTCTTTCTTTCTTTCTTTCTTTCTTTTATCTTTTGCTTTTTTTAATTTGTTATTCGCTTTTCCTCGTCCAGAGAAGATATCCGTAAAGTTTCTTAAAAGTTGTTTCTCATACTATTTTAATTTGCCAACCAAGTTCCCTATTTGTCCTGTGCAATATGGAATTGCTGATAATTAATAACTTTATATCAACAAGTGGCATAACTTATGATGTATTTTATGAATGTTTTAAACAGCAGTTGATAAAAAAAAATACATATGATATTGTAATGTGGACATTCTTTTCTCAAAATCATGATTATTCTAGATTTGGTTTCTGGTTTTGTTCTTTACTTAGTTTCATACCTAAGGAATAAAACACACAGTGACACAGAAGCATAGCATAATTCTTTTCCTTTTTCTTTATCTTTAGTACCAACTCTCCTCTCTGAATAGTTTTAAGTCCCAATTTTAAGTTGTACATTAGTAACTAGTCTAGTTTTATTAATTGGTATGGAGATGGTTAGAGTTGACTCATATAGCTTAATTAAATGAGTTTAGAACAAACCAAAGCCAAGTGGTGGAGTTGACTATTTTTTATGAGGTTAATCTAATTTAAAGGTAGAATATATAAGATTATGATTATGCAGAAAAGTAACTTGTTTCAGTATATATATAATATAATATGAATAAAACATCAAAAACATTTTCTTCAAGTTAAATCCTAGAAAATTAGGAACAGAGGTTTATTGTGTTGTATTGTATCTTTGACAGGATTGAGCTAAATAGCAGTCAAGTCAACCAACACCTTGCACACTCCATTTGCAATCAATCAAGATTATTTGCAGCAACTAAAGAAAATGAAGTTGTTTCTGTTTTAAAATGGTCATTTGCAATCAACTGAAAGCTAGTTTTCAAATGTGAAGGTTTTTTCAAGAAAAAATGTTGAGGGATTTTATGAAACTTTTTTTTGTTTAAAACCAGAAAATTAATGCTAACCTGTCTACAAGGGCCAATTAGGAAAAAAAATGCAAGGTCTTTTTAAGAAAATTAAAAATTGAGGTTTAATAAGGAAAAAAAAACGTAATATATATATTGGGTATCACTTATATGTTTTAACATTTTACTAATGGTTATTCTTATATTTCGTAATTTTTTCAAATTTCTATAGAAAACTCTTTCTGTGTTTTCATAAAATACCAAATATTTTTATTCAAATATTTAGTGCAAATGTTTCAGTAAGTTAAAAAAATGTAGAATTCGACTTCAATGACCAAGTACTCTGGGAGGAACTCAAAAAGATTATAACATCCTACTTTCAAGCAAGCAGTTACAGCATTCTACTTACATTATACTTTTAAATTTTTATCCGCTGAAATTTCTTTGAATTCAATTGCTTTAATCAACTGAAGAAATATCAAAAAAAAATGAATCGGTGGTTTATGTTCTTGAGAGAAATAAATCTTTATATATACACAATTTCTCATTTGCCTTTTAGCTTTTTCTTCGGTTATGGTGATGGAATCATATGAAAATTATTAAGATTGCCAACAAATCAGACACTAAACATTTACCTTGCACACTCCGTTTGCAATCAATAATATAATCAAGATTATTATGATCAACTAAAGAAAAGGAAGTTGTTTCTGTTTTAAGATGGCCATTTGCAATAATCAGATGAAAGCTAAATTTAAGATGAGTATTTGCAATCAGATACATTATATGCATTTAAAGAAAAGAACGATGTTAAAACCCAACCTTGATTCTTCTTGAGTGGCTTCAATTTTGAGTTCCGGTTCAAGGATTCAAGCTCGGCGCTCTGTAACTTCACCTTGTGGGCTTCAATTTCGACTTTCGAGCTTCATGGGTTGGATTTTTTTAGGGTGCGATTGGTTTTCTACTTTTCTTTTAGCGGCTGAAGGTGTCTAGGAAAATGATATAGAATTCAAACTGGTATGAGGATTTTTAGTTTATTTTGTTGACGCCAAAAAAAACTTAATAAAAGATCTTTTGTAATGTATGCAATAAAATAATAAATAACAATATTTCATTAGAATGAAAAAATGTTGTAAAAAAAGTTATAAAACCGGAGTGCAAATGGTTGGACAGAACATGTCCTTTTTAATAAATAAAGAACATTTTGCCACATGTCACATTTTCATGTCACATTCTTATTAATTTGGTTACATATAATTTTGTGGTTCTTTTCAATTAATTTTTTTCATATGACATTTTGTGGTTTTTTTTCATTGGGATTTTTTAATATGTGCCCTAAAGACACATTTAAGAAGTATTAATTATAAAAAATATTACCATAATTAAATTCAAAATACATTTATTATGGAGATTATTAATGTATTTCACATTTAATTATGATAATATTTCTTATAATTAATGTATTTTATATTTTATTATGGTAATATTTGTCATTAATTAATACTTTTTATATGTGCCCTTAGGGCACATATTAGAAAATCTTTTTTTGATTTTATTAATTTCCACATAATATTTAAATACAATAATTGCAATAATATAATAATAAATGGATATCAATTTCATTAATTGATATTTTTCTAATTTCAATTTTTCTATATTAAAGTTCCATTAGTTTCATTTGTTTATTTATCTAAATTATTTGTTTAATTTAAAATAAAAACAAACAATTTAATTTTAATAATTCAATATTTTTCTATTTTTTTCTTATAAATTCAAACTTCTTAAATGTTTAGAATTTCATATATATATATATATATATATATATATATATATATATATATTTTTAAAATGAACCCATGTAATACATGGGTCTTACACCTAGTTCTCTACTAATTTTCTGTTTTGTACATGGTAAAATTAGGATGGATTAAAAGCACTAAAGTGAGTTGGATCCAAATAACAACCATTACAAACATCCCTTAACTAATAGCAACAATCCTCAATCTTCCTACAATTTTATGAGTGAAATATCCAATTAGGAAGAAAACCTAAATTTTTATTCTGTATTTGCCAATAGAAAACCCCCAAATTACAAGATATGACATGATATTATCAATCATTCATTACAATATATCAACTTGTAATATAACAAAAGTCTTAAAACCAGACAATAAAGATATGACATATGAACAATATATTTTTGCTTACATTTCAATTATTAGTCTCATGTATTTTGCTAAACAATACTCTATATAAACTAAAACCACAACATAAAATTGGTCTTATATGTTTATATATATTTCATTATTAGACATATATATTTTTCTTGAAAAACAAAATTTCCCGATTAGTGGGATCTTGCTATAATTTGTATATATATACTGTAGTTAGTGACCGAAATATCCACATAACAATTATCCTGCAACTATCTGCAAAAAATAAAAAATCATAGTTAGATAACTTCTAAAGTTCTAGATTATATCTAGTTTGAACAAATGAGTTCAAAAAGATTAAAATTTAGTGAACAAGTAAAAATATACTAAACTCAATGTTTGCTGATGACTAGAAGTCTAGAATGTGTTCTTATAAAAAACTGTATTTTTTTTATTTGTCAATTAGGTTATGTAAATTATCTAATTATTGAAAAATATCTTAAAGAATCTTATGATAGAATAAATTAAAAAAATTGAGTTGATAACTGAGTAATTTTAAAGTAAAAAGCTTGTCTATATGCATGACTTTTGAACTTAAACGGTTTTGAATTTGTATATGACAAAATATTTCATTCTACATAATTCAAAGCAAGATTTTTAACTTAAAAAATCAAATCTAAATGTAAAAAAAACTACTGATACCAATAAATTTTCATGAGTTTGTATTATATACCTTAACCTAATCATGCATATATATTTTTTATTAAAAGTACCTGATAAATGAATGGATCAGTTCTCCCTCCAGCTCCTGACCTTCTCACCTCCTCTTTTTTCAGCAACCTATCATGTAAGCATCAGTTATACTGTCATATACCTTAAGAATATTTTTCCAAACAATTATCAAGTAATGCATTTGTGAATTTTTCATTGGTTGAATGCATGGTTTCTTGAATTTTTATGGAGGAATGCATGTATTTCTTTTAATTGCAGAAAACCCCTTTGATTTATGTATTTGAACAGAAATCGGGCAATCTATCGATCAAGAAAGGAAGCCATGCCACGTGGCATGCTATTATAGGCCAATACCGTAAGTAAAGAGGGAGATTATGTTTTACATGCGCAAGGCTTTGCTGGTGTCGGGGCTGTCGCCGAGCAACTGACGTATGCGGACTTCCGAAGCGGATCCATTGTGAGCAAGCACTTCCAATATGGCTTCAGACCGGCGGATTAGATGAGAGGAGCTAACCGGAGCCAACGGCTTCTCTCCCTTTGTCTTCGACTTCCAGCTTTCTGAGCTGGAAACCAAGCTGCTGGAGCCACCTGATAAACACGACGAGCCTTCTGTCGTCTCCGACGAGCTACCGGACACAACAAAAGATTTCTGTTCGAGGCTAGAGTTTTTCCGGCAATCGGAAATCCATAACGTCTTAGATCTGCTCTTTCTCACCACCTGCAGACAAATCCAAAAATTGATCGGTAAGAAGGCGAGACTATGAGATCACATTGATCTATAGAAATCGTATTAGCTAGATAACGATAGCTTATTCTTTGTTTTCAGTTGTTGTACTCAATGCGAATAACATAGTATGACGATGAAGGATCAGAAGTCAGAACAGTATGCTAAGGACGTAACTACGTCCGATCAAGGCGTGTAACCATAAAATTTTAGTATAAACTACGAAATAAATTAAGCTGAAATGAAAGAATGAATCATGAACGAAGTAATTAGGTACGTTGAAGTGTATCTGAGTTCGAGGAAGCTAAAGTAAACAGTTCACATAGAACAGAGAGTTACTAAGAAGCCCAAATTCAGGATATGAGGTTCAAAATTTCAAAGAGAAACCGATTCTGAGGGAATTCATCAATAACGAATAGAATTTGCACACGCAAGTCCAATCAGAGCTCTAAATCGGACTGAATTCCGGATTTTCTATCAAACAGAACCTCAAGTCGATCGAATCAAATCCACAAACTATATACATTTACCTTAAACTTCATCTCGTGTTCAGAATGAGCAATAGCGCTAGCAACCATACGAAGACCGGGTCCATGAGCCTCATCCGATGATGCATCATCGCTACTCACAGTAGACGAAGCAGACGACCTCGAACACGATTTACACACCAACAAACTCTCAGAACAATCAGAATGGCACGTACATGTGGTTCCCTCGCTGCTAAACGCATCAAATCACAACAAAAACACTCTTTCATGATCCAGCTACGAATTAATCAACGTAAAATCAAACCAAATTGATGACGTTAAATTCAGTTGAGTTACCATGGAGACGAGGATAGAAGGAGAAGAGCAGAAGCGACGATCTCTTCGGTGGAATTTGGAAATGGTGATTCGGATTCCATTTTGTGTTACTTCAGAAGCTTTTTTGTATCAGTAACAATAGGCGGGATCGACGAATAATTTGAATTTTTGGTAAGATTTTTGCGATTTGATCTGTTTAACTGAACGCTTTCTACGATCTAAACTACTTTGTTACGGTTTGTTAAGCATGTGTGAGTTCGTTAACACAAATATGGGTTAAGTTTTGTGGACCCGTTTCTCGTGAAAAAGTAGAAAGTGGGCTATAAGTTGACCCAAGTTATTCGAGCTCCTCTTTTGCTAGAAAAATTGTGCACCCAATTTGATGAAACATAGATAACAACTTCATGATTTTCAATAACATCACCACATAAATATAATATCATGTCAGTATACACTAAAATCTCTTTATAAAACACGGATCATTATTCATTAGACAGTATAGATTTTATATATTATTGAGTTGTGCCTTTGCAAAGAGGCTAATTAAATATTTTTCCCCTCTTTTTCTTTCTTGACTGCTCTCTGCAAATGTGATGCCCTCACAAAGATCTCCAAAATGGTTATATGGGTATATGGTAAGCCAAGATGTGATAGTCAAGTCACCTCGTGGACTAATGTGTCCAGAAACAACAGTGGGTTTGTGGGATGGTTTGATCTCCCAATGTGTCCAAGATCAGTGGAAGTTATTCATGGGTTGCTTAGGTCCATGAATGAGTTAAGCAAGCACTAGTAGATGGTAAGAAGTGCAAGTATTTGTTCTATGTTTTGTGGGTTTTCTTCATGGTTGTCTTTGTAGCTAACAATGGGTGGATGATTAAGTAATGGTGGGGTGTTAATGTTGTAGGTTTTTGGAGGGTAAATGGTGGTTTTTCGTGTTTGTTGTTAGGGCATCCACAATGCATTGAACTCTATAAAGTTTAATAGAGTGTCACATCATCATTCACTATTTCATACAACTCTATTCATTTTTATCCCACAATGCATTAAACTCTACAAGTTCAATGGAACATATTAAAAAAATATTTATTTAAAGATTTAAATACTTTCCTTTTTCCCATTGAAGAGTTCAATGGTCATTGAACTCCAAATCCATTGAATGTCAATGTGGCATTTCACAATAGTGGAGTTGTATCCATTGAATGACAAGTAGGCATGACACCTCATTCAACTCTTCTATTAAACTCTCCATTGTGGATGTTCTTAGTATAAGAAATGTGTTCAGTTTGAAGTGTCTAGGTGTCTTGTATGTTTTTTGGTTCTTGTATTAAATGTAATGGTCAATGCCTTAAAAGGCAGATTTCTGAATTGTAAATGGCAATTTTGAAGGAATGAAAAATGATCATATTATATGGTGTTGTAGCGATGTGCATAGGTTTGTGTTATTGTGTACTTGATCCTCGACAATGAGATGTTTTGACCATTTTGATAATGATGGTCAACAAAGCATCATGGTGTAATATGTGGTAGTTTAGTGTACTTATTTTTTTTACCATTAAGGATATGAGAAAAATTGACCATTATTATAACAGCATCATCAAATAACATTGTCATAATCTTCAAACTTAATAACACTGCATCATTCTAGGAAATTTGTGAGGGATTTAAGAGTTTATTTATGGATTTTTGTTTTTTGTTTTATTTTATTTATATGATTCAAAATTTGTCGGCTCAAAAACAACAGTATTTCTCGTACCAATGATTTGATCCTGATGATATGCACTCGGACCATTCCCCTTCCATTCTCAAGCAGTGCATAGCTATCCTGCATTCCCGTGCCACTTCAATCCACAAACTCAAACAAATTCATGCCTTTTCAATCAAGCATGGCGTCCCTCTCAACAACCCAGATATGGGCAAACATCTTCTGTTCACTCTCGTCTCCCTCTCCGCACCTATGTCCTACGCCCACAAAATCTTCAAGCAAATCGATAACCCAAACATTTTCACTTGGAACACAATGATTAGAGGCTACGCCGAGAGCCAAAACCCCAAACCAGCCATGGATATACACCGCAACATGCGATCGTTTGCTGTCGAACCCGACACGCATACGTACCCATTTCTTCTTAAAGCCATCGCCAAGTTAATCTCTGTCAAGGAGGGTGAAGAGGTGCACTCCATCGCAACTAAAAACGGGTTCGGATCATTGGTGTTTGTCCAAAACGGTTTGGTTCATATGTACGCTGTATGTGGACGAGCTGAAAGCGCACACAAACTGTTCGAGGAAATGTCTGAAAGAAACCTCGTTACTTGGAACTCCGTAATCAATGGATTTGTTCTCAATGGGAGACCTAACGAAACTCTAACTCTTTACAGAGACATGGTTGATGAACAGGTGGAGCCAGATGGTTTCACTTTGGTTAGCCTACTCACTGCATGTGCAGAACTCGGTGCCTTAGCATTAGGCAAGAGGGTTCATGTCTACATGTCCAAAGTCGGGTTAGCTGAGAATCCCCATGCTGCAAACGCCCTTTTGGATCTTTACTCAAAAACAGGAAACATCAAAGAAGCACATAAGGTGTTTGATGAAATGAAGGACAAGAGTGTAGTCTCATGGACTACACTCATAGTCGGCTTAGCCATGAACGGATTTGGTAATGAATCAATCAATCTTTTCAAAGAACTAGAAACAAAAAAACTTACACCTAGTGAAATCACCTTCGTAGGTGTACTCTACGCTTGTAGCCACTGTGGATTGGTTGATGAAGGATTCACTTATTTCAAAAGAATGAAAGAAGAGTATAAGATTGAGCCAAGAATCGAACACCATGGATGCATGGTTGACTTATTAGGAAGATCAGGTCATGTACAACAAGCTTATGATTACATCATCAACATGCCATTACAACCAAACGCAGTCATCTGGAGAACCTTATTAGGAGCTTGCACAATCCATGGACATACAGGTCTAGCCGAGTTTGCAAGAGCTAAACTCATAGAACTTGAACCTAACCACAGTGGTGACTATGTGTTACTCTCAAATCTCTATGCTTCTGAGAGAAGATGGTCCGACGTGTCAAAAGTGAGAGAAAAGATGTTAGCAAATGGGGTTCAAAAGTCACCCGGGCATAGTTTAGTTGAGTTGGGAAATAGGGTTTATCAATTTGTGATGGGGGATACATCTAATCCACAAAATGAAGAAATCTACACTAAATTGATTGAGATAACAAGATTATTGAGGTTAGAGGGTTATGTGCCTCATGTTGTGAATGTGCTTGCGGATATTGAAGAGGAAGAAAAGGAGACTGCTTTATCGTATCATAGTGAGAAGATTGCTATTGCGTTTATGCTTATTAATACGCCTAATGGGATGCCTATTAGGGTTGTGAAGAATTTAAGGGTTTGTGCAGATTGTCATCTTGCTATTAAACTTGTTTCAAAGGTTTATGGAAGGGAGATTGTGGTGAGGGATCGAAGTAGATTTCATCATTTTAAAGATGGGTCTTGTTCATGCAAAGATTATTGGTAGGTAGAATATTATGTACATCTTGAGTACCAATTTTGATTTTGGGTGTTTTTTGTTTTTGAATTTGGTTTGAAATTATGGTTTTTGAGTTTTAGTTTGAAAGATAAATGATTATTGTTATATTTCGATTTCTTTTTGCATGTTTGATTAGTTAAATGCCATTTGAAGTATCATTAAGCAAGTAAGATAAGCATGTATGTATATGAATGCAACACAACATTGAATATTACAACTTCAGGTCTTTTGGTATGAACAGCTTGATAATCAAAAAGCCACATTTATCCGATTAGTGCAAGTGATGTTTTTAATCTTTTTTTAAACAAAATTTGAATAACTCTACTTGCCAGATATTGCTCAAGTTCCGTGTATTAAACCGGAAATGATACTTTTAATCGTTAATCACTAAAACAACCAAAGTCACTTGGATGTTATTACAAAATAATCATCTTTTGAAAATGTATTTCAGAATGGCCATAATCATTATGTTACAAAATGATTATGTTTTCATATATTTTTTTATAATACAATATATATCATTTATAAAACAATTTTTATTTTGCAAAACAAAATTGTCATATTCATTTAAAAAAGTCATTTTGTTACAAGATCCATTAATTTTCTTTTATTTAGTGATTAATCCAAAATGATATGGTTATTAAATTAAGATACGAAAAGCAGAAAAAGAAACAGGAGGAGATGGCGTTTTATCATATTTCTCGTTTGGTTCCTCTTAACCACCAAGTCCAAAACCCTAAAAACCCCCGTTGTGAGAGAAAAAACTGTCAATGGCCTGTAATGGCACCGGATGTGAATCGGGTTGCTATAAAGACAGCACCGGGGATGAAGTGGAGAAATCATCCACGGAGAAGTTAAATGGTGATGTCAATGGCGATGGTAATCACCATCGCCACCAGACGACGTGTCTCAAGTGTAAGGCAGCAGAAGCCACAATCTTCACCGGCGGGGAAGGTGGTAGCAGATTCTGTGCTGATTGCTTCCGTAGTAACCTTTATGGAAAGTTTAAGCTTGCTGTCACTTCCCATGCCATGATTTCGCCCACTGATAAAGTTCTCATGGCCTTCTCCGGTGGTCCTTCATCCAGGTTACCTTTCCCTTTCCCGTCGACACATAGTCTGTAATTGTAAAGGCGTATTTGATCCGTTCTGTTATATTTTTGCTATAAATTGAAACGAATTCATTAATAAATATGCTATATCTTGTTTTTTCCCTCTTTGACAAACTTCTATTCTTTTTATGTGTTAGGAAATGGAAGTAGATATGTTCCCACGCTCCCTTAAATTTGATCCGTAGATAACAAAGGTAGTATGTAATTAGGGTGTTAGAACAATTGAAATCATTTTGGAGACCTGGTATTGGTTTTAAGCACTAAACAGACTAAACCATCATAGTAGGAACCTATGATCTTTGCATACACTTAAGCACACACACAAAGAATCACTAAAAGGGGCAAAGAGGCATGTCTACTTGACTACTTTTAATTTAAGCTTGAATTAATTAAAATGTCATTAACATCCATTACAGATATGTAACAGCATATCTACACAGGATTGCTGGCATACAACTACAAAAGAGTCATTTAACAATCAAATAACCACTAAAATCTTACAATCCTTAACATAACATGTATAAGGAATCATCGATAAAGTTACTATTAGTGATACTAAACCACAAATAGTAAAATAAACATCATCAAGAACATTAAAATAAGAATCAAAGAGAGACGAGACGCAAAGTGGATGCGAATATGCAAAAAGAAGGTCTTATTATTTGTTGTTTGGTTGTTTTTCCCTCTTTTTAGTGCAATATTTGAATATCCATATGTGCTTATTAGTCATTTTGAGAGTTGTGCTAGTGCTTTTTTAGGTTTAATGATACTAAAGGGTAATTAACCATACAATGATCTTTGCAGGGTGGCTCTTCAATTTGTTTCTGAGATGCAACTCAAATCCCAGAAAAACTTTGATGCAACTGCAATTAGAGACAGATCTTTACCTGTATTTGGTGTTGGAGTAGCTTTCATTGATGAAACTGAAATCCATCCCATCACTTGTACTGATTTCAATAAAGCCATTGAAGACATTAAAGAAATTGTATCAAATTTGTCTCCACCCAAAAAAGAATTGCACATAATCCCAATCAGAAACATCTATTCAACAAAAACCAGTGATGGAAGTGAGACACTGAAGAATCTAATAAACACTGTTAGTGATGCAACTGGAAAAGAAGACCTTCTTTCACACCTACGTATGTTGTCCTTACAAAAGGTTTGATTTAAAAAAATTATATCTTTATCAACAAACTCATATGCATTTCAATTTCATTTATGTTTTGTATGTCATTTACTATGCAGATTGCTATTGAAAATGGATACACCAAACTTGTGTTGGGCTCATGCACATCCAGGATAGCTTGCCATGTACTTGCAGCCACAGTCAAGGTTTGCTTTTTTTCTTTTTTCAATTTTTTTGGTTTCTAATCTTTGAAATTATTGCTAATATTGTATTTTTCATAATAGGGCCAAGGGTACTCATTAGCAGCTGATATACAATATGCTGATGCAAGATGGGAAATTCCAGTAGTTCTTCCCCTACGTGATTGTCTCATTCAAGAACTCAACATACTTTGCAGTCTTGATAGGTTTTTATATTTATCTTTAAATATTTGTAGTAACATTGAGAAAGGTTTACCTATAATTTGAATAATTTTTTTTTAATTCATAACAGTTTGAAGATTGTGGAGGAATTTAAAGACTCTCGTGGTGGCATCAATGGTTTGGTTTCATCTTTTGTGAAACTCTTGCAGGTAAATTGTAATTTTAAATGTTACTGTTTGATATGAACAAAAAAAGTTAGGGTTTGTTTGGTATGATGGAATGGATCACAAAGGAATGGAATGAAATTTATTTAACCTTGGAAGTAGGAAAAGGAATCACATTTCTTGCTAAATTTGTCTCAGGAAGAAAATCCTTCTCGGGAATGCACAATTGTAAGGACTGCTGGAAAGCTGACTCCATTCCCATTTAACAAGATTCCAGATATAAACACTGATGGTGATGATGTTCATTTGGCATCTCAAAGGCGTCATAAGAAGTTTAATTTAAAGCCGATTGAATCACTTCCTCCAGACTCATTCTGCCCTATTTGCAATAGCCCAATCCGTGACTTTCAAAGCGTGACTTCTTTTACTAATTCCCAAACTACCCCTGCACTTTTCGGTGCTGCTTGCTGCTCTAGTTGCCAATATCAGATACTTCCTGAGGAACTCTCGTCAATGGAGGAGTTCTATTCGTTTTTACCCCAATCTATCATCGCTCGAGCAAGAAATGGGAACCAAAAATGGATAAGGTGAGGGCAATTTGGTAATTTTATTCAGTTTTTTTTTCCTTCATATTAATGATGGAAATTTAAATTCTTTGACAGGGAAAAGATACAAGATTGTTTGATTTTAGACGATGAAGATGAAGTTTGAGGTTCTAAATGTAGTAAGTTGCTGAAACTGGTTGTATTACTTCTCCTTATTTAAAAAGGACAAAAAAGAAGAGAGAATAGTTTAATGACAATTTTGGAAGTGTTGATAAACTTAAAATTAAATTTGTTTAGTTTTTGTTGCTTTGGGATCACAGGAGGACCATTTTTTGTTACATTCTTCTGAAAGGTATTTTTGTCATGGAGTGAATTGTGATAATGAGATATATCCAAACTGCCAAAATAATCATTCAGGATAGATGTAGATGGATTGCTAAATCACACATGTACACATCTTTATGTTTCATATACTATTATTCTTATGGACTAAATTACAAACTTAACAACTATTTGGGGAAGATTTATAAAAATGGACCAAATTTGCATTTTCAGTAAAGCACAAGGACCCAATTTGTAGTTTACTCTATATATTATGGGAAGGCAGTTTGCCTGTAACAGAAGCGACTTCTTAAATCAATTTATATCTTAGTTAGAGTACATGCTTCCAAAATTAATATTTAAGGACTTCTATGTTTATTACTCAAATTATTGGTATGATCATTAAACAATGACCTACTCAAGTCAATTTGTATATTAAGTTATCGAGTCTCTTATATGATTATAAACTTATAATATATAGGTCCTTTACACATAACACATTGAAACAGTTATAACAAATAACTATTCTCTTTGAAAGTGACATCTCACCAATTTGTATTTTTAGGGAATTTTCACCTAAATCCGGCTAGTCAATTCCATCAAATACCCAATGATTTATAAATTCTTTTCTATGACATATTCGTGTTTTGATTTTTTTTTAAATGTCAAGTGAGATAATATATTTATTAATAAAAAAATAGAAAGATAATAAAATTTGCGACAGAAGTGGTTGAAGTTGAACTGTGATGGATGGTTACAGGTCGTAGAGAAAGAAGGGATTGGAAACAGAGGACCCTGCCACTGCCACATCTTTCTCACATCAAAAGCACAAACCCTTTGCCTTTTCCACGTTCTCAAAGATATTTTATTTGATCTACAATAAGTTGAATACACGCCTGATAATAATGGTTGTTTAACAAAAATGTACTATAAAGTGTAAACTAATTATTTATATATACTTGGTACAAAATAACTGTTTGTTTCGTAAAAAGGTGGTATTTACGAAATTACTTAGAATCTTTAAAATATATTCTTTCTTGGCAAATTGTGATTTCATACACACTTTGTTATGGTAACTTGCTATTGATTTGGAATACTTTCATTATATATTTAACAATTTAGTCTAAGATTGATGTATTTCATGAGTTTATTTAAGAGAAAAAATTAAATATGAAATTCTTAACACTTAAAAAATTTGAATTTATAAGAAAATTAATATATATATATATATATATATATATATATATATATATATATATATATATATATATATATATATATATATATTGAATTATTAAAATTAAAATATTTCTTTTTTCTTTTAAATTTAAACAAATCTCTCTATTCTAATAAAAGGATAGGTTTATTTTTTTTTGTCATGTGTCATTTTATTAAGTCTCATAATTAATGTCATGTCACTTGTCAACATATTGATTCTCCATTTTAAATTTTAAAGTTTAAATTTCTCACTCTAATTATATTAAATTAATAACATTAAAATTAAAATTAAAATAAAGTTAATATGGATTATAAGGTGATATAATTTCACATATTTATTTAAATCAACAATTATAATTTTATATAAATAAAAAATATCTTTTAATTAATAATTTATTTAAAATAATTGATTACTAATTTTGAGTTTTTAATATGAAAGTTTAATTTATTTTGTAACTGTAGTTCGTACGGGTAATAAACTAGTAATTTAGATAAATAAACAAAAGAAAGTAATGAGGCTTTAATTTAATAATTTTCAAAATTAGAATGAAAGTCCATTAATTAAATTGATATGCATTTATTATTATTTATTATATTTAACTACTATATGGAATTTAATAAAATGGAAAACCCATAAAATGACATGTGGAAAAAAAATAATAAGAAGAAGAAGAAAAAGGCATTTGGCATAATGTATTAGAAGATGACAAATGGTAAAATCATTTTTATTTATTAGGAAGGATTGAATGAATTGAATCACACTTTTTATGAATTTTGTTTTACCATCTTCAAACACAAATTCTTTCAATCAAAAATAAATTCACTAAAAAGTTGTATTTAGATTATTTATTTGCGGTGCAATACACAACAAATTATATAAATTGTTCAAAAAACAGTTTTTGCCACTTCAAAGACCATTCACAAACACTACTACTCATCACCATTTAACACCACCACCTATCTCACTACCACCAAAAACAAACACAACAAAGTAGTTGTCGTTTTAACACAAGATTTTTATCTTCAATCCTTCATATATCCATTTATCTTCTTCAATACAATATTCAATTGTACATTTTATTTGCCTCTCATTGTCTTTTCAACTGGGATCCTCAATAATGAGAGGAATAAGCTTCAACACCACTGAGAATAAAGAAGAATTCGTCAACAAAAATCTTATGATAGAGTGAATAATTTAATTGACAAAAATTTGGTGAGGATTCCATCCTAGTATAGTAGCAACGCAACACCAATCGAATATAAAGAACATCATCAACGTCGGGTTGAAGATGAAGGGGTTTTGTCCCTATACTTTAGAAACCCTTGTTCTTTTTGTAACATCCCGACTCCCAGGTATGAAATTTTAAGGATTTTTGCACATCACATAAGACCTACTCGACGAGTTGGAGTCCCCAACTTGTCGTGTAGAAACTAATAAAGCCGCATGGATTATGGAACCTACTTGACCAGTTGGAGGGCCCCAACTCGACAAGTTGAGGTTGTGCATGAAAACCCTAATTTTTAGGGTTTGCACCCTATTTAAAGGACCTTAAGTCCCCTCACCAACCTCCCTTACCACATTATTGTCCAGAGAAACCCTAAAATTGTGCTAACCTTCCATTTTGATCGTGTGCAAGCCTAAAGAGTGTTTGTTGGTGCATTTCTTGAAGAAGCTTGGAGAGACTAGTGCATAGCCAAACGAGGAGGTTGTAGATCTGACATCTACACTGTAGTAGCAACCATTTGGAGGTAAAAAGTCTATACCTTGACCTCTTGTTTCTTAGATCTTCTCTTATGGAAGTTTAGTGCATTTTTAACCCTTTTTGGAACCATTTTCGGAGTTGAGCATGATTTGAAGTTATGACTTCAGATCTGGACACCTTTAGGCCTCCTCGGGCCTAAAGATTCAAGATTTATCAAGCTTTGGCCATCCTCCATGCCCTAAACCCCTTATTAAGTTTCATATGAGTGTTTAAACCCCTTTGATGTCATGCATGGACATAAAGTTAGCAACTTTACGTGGTATCTTAACCCTAGGGGACTAGATCTGTAGTTTGGGGCTTTGGATTCGACTGGAAAGACTGAATATTAAAAGGTTAAAGGAACTCGATGAGTTGCTTAGCTAACTTGACGAGTTGAGTCGGGTTTTCCTGCTTTCTGGATAAACTCGGTGAGTTGATGAGATAACTCGATGAGTTAGTTAGGGTTTTTCCCGGTTTTCTGAGTTCTGAAGGAAATCGACGAGTTACTAGCTGCACTCGACGAGTTGGGTCAACATGGACTGTTGACCTTGACTGTTGACTTTGACTTTGACCAGGGCTGACCAAGTTTGACTTCTGGGGGTATTTTGGTAATTTGGGTCTTGATGGAATTGGTACTATGGTGGTTGTAGGTGTTTGAGTTTGGGGCCATGATTCGAGAGCTTAATCTTTTCAATTCAGTTCGACATTGTGAGGTGAGTTCTTCTCACTATACTAACAGGGTCGAAGGCACCAAGGCCGACCCTTTTTGGATTGTATCCTGGTGATAGGATGATACTATGTTTAGTGATATGTTAGATCTGTATCCTGGCTATATGATGATGTTATGTTTAGTGATATGTTAGATCAGTATCCTGGTATATAGGATGATGTTATGATTAAGGATCTGTAGATCTGTATGATTGTCTATACATGCTAGATAGCATATGATATTTATGTATTGATTGTGTGATTGCGGTTGGGTTGAGGCGGTCCTGCTTTGTGCTCTAGGCCAATAGACACAGGGCAGTCAGGATAGACTGAAGGCCCATCGGGGCGTACCAATCAGGCCGAAGGCTCGGAGAACGGTCCAGACATGCTGAAGTTCTGAGAGTGGACCAGATAGACTGAAGGCCTGACGAGGGTGGTCCAGTCATAGTAAAGACTCTATATACATGTTGTTTGTTATGTTATTGTTATGGTTTATATGACGTTGGTATTTTAGGGGAACTCACTAAGCTTCGGGCTTACAGTTTTGGATTTTGTTTCAGGTACTTCAGATGATTGCGGGAAGGTGAAGGCTTGATCGTGCACCTCCTCACATTTTATGATTTTGATTTCTGGGATACTCTGATATGAAGCTATTTTGAAAACAATTTGTAATAAGTAATGGTTTTTGGATGCTTGAAAAAGTTTTAAATTTTTATGAATTTTATGGATGTTGCAAGTTGGTATCAGAGCCTTTGTTTGAGTGAATTGGAGGAACACTCGTGTGAATCCAGTCTCAAACTAAGGAAAAAGATTTTCAAAATGATTTTCAAATGGTTTTCAAAATACTAAAGGAGGATGCAAATTGTACGATCAACCGGAGCCAGTAAGTATACCCCAAAATACCATACGGTTATTTGATATTGTGATATGTTAGAACAGCATGCTAGTGATAGGCTAGGGATCTTCAAAAATTGCATGATAGAACTGCTTGATTATATGATGTCTGATAGCCTAGGGTTTTCCTTATATGAAATTGACATCATTATTGTAGTTGCTTAGTGTATGCATCACAGTTGTATATAACTAAGATCTTATAGCCTAAGAATGTTTGGTTTGGCCTTATTTCCTATTCTTGTCTGAAGAAGGGCTTAGGGTAGGATCAGATATTCGAACGGTTATAGGGTCTAGCGTTATGTATGACTAGCATACACGAGTACTATAGGGTTGGTGGAAGTTTCATGGATGAGTTGTGTAGGGTCAGTCGGCCAGTTGTGAGATGTTTAGCCTTCCTCTAGGAGTGAGGATTGAGCGTTCGCCTATGCTTATGTATATCGTTAGTGCGTTGTGATGATACTTGAGACAAATACGGGTAGGTGTGGAAGGTGGTATGGGCCCGTACTACTGAAAGCACAGGACTCATACACGTAGCAAGGAAGTCACAACCCCTAGGGCTTTGTTAGGAGTTGGTTCCCCGTTATTATATGGAATGTCTGATATCTTCCTGGTATATTTTCAGCATGGTGGTTACGAGGCGATTTGTGACCGGATCCGGGTCGGGATCAGGAGATGACAGTCAGGGTGGACCAACAGTGCCCGAGACCATTGGTTAGATGAGATCAGATGAGTTGGATACCACGATTAGGGATATCCTGCATGATGAGGTTGCGACACTATTCCGGGCTCAGTTACCGGAGATGTTTAGGTCTATTAAGACCGCTATGGTTGAGTACTCGATGAGCGCTATGCAGCCATTGCTGAGACGGCTGCCGCTGCAGCTTCCGCAGCCGTAGCAGCTGCAGGTGGTGGGGCCAGTCAGGCTTTTCAGTATCGGGACTTCGATAAAACAAAGCCCCCAACTTCCAATGGGATTCAGGACCCGATCATAGCCATGAGGTGGCTATCCGACATTGAGGGATGCTTTTTCACATGCTCATCAAAATATGTGATCCTAAATTGTAACACCCTAATAATTAAAAATACGCTAAAAAAATCTTTTAAAATGTTTACATTGTTTAATAAATCATTCTCAAATGTGTGTAACTTTGTCTTAAAGGGGACTACAAATATTTACTATATGCTCAGCTCAAGCTCGCCCTCAAGATGAAACCACTCCAGTCCACAACCTCTATATTTAGTATATTCATGTATCGACTTATGGTTGTCATCAATTATCATGTCACTCACCATGGTTGGATGATCGGTGATGCTTATGATTACTTTCTTCTTCAAACTATAGATATGATCTACAATTAAATATCGGGACCAGTTAAGTGAAGGATAGTTGCACACACAACCTTCTTCAA